TGTTACCGTGTGGATGCGGTTCATCATACCAAATCCTTTTCGAAACCCTGCTTGCACACATAGCGGCCTTTCGCCTAGTGTTCTGTCAATCCTGTTTAGAATGACTCGAGTGAAGAGCTTGTAGACGACAGTCAGCAAGTAGATTGGGCGATAGTTGCCGATGTCGTGTAGGTCAACCTTCTCGAACAATAACACGGTCCTGCTGGTGTTCCACTGAGTGGGGACCTTGCATTCAGACAGGTAACGTGTGAAGAGCAGAGGCAGTGTGTTTACGAGGACTAGCGGAAGGTTCTTCAGGTGTTCTGGTCTTATCCTGTTCGGATCTGGAGCTGTTCGATTTTTCACCGACGAAATGGCCTGTCGGATTTCGGAAGGGAGAACGGGTGGTACAACATATCCATCCTCTTTTACTTCATATGACGAAAGGTGGACAGGCTATCGAAGAGATCCGAGATGTATTCGTGAATGATTTTCTCCACTGCCTTTCTGGACGCTGTAACTGTTCCGTCTGGGCGTCGGAGCGCAACCATCTTGGTTTTGTAATTGGCGAAGCTTCGGTGGGATTTGCGAATGCTTTTCCCAGTCTCTGCAACTTCGACCATTACTGTTGCTCTTCTCTCTTTGAGATCTTCTTCTATCACCGGTCCGCATTGTTTTGCAAGTTCGGACGTTAAACCGCGGTAGCCCGCGGCTCGTGCGATTCCTCGCTGGCGTATCAGCTCGAGAGTTTCTGGAGACAAACGTTTCTTAGTGACCTTCGAACTTTCAGCATTCATGGCGCTAACGTAAAGATGTTGAATGATTCGATCGTATTCCTCGTCGATGTTATCGACAACGGCATCTCCCCAACATCCGGCTAGTGAATGGAATAAGTCCCAGTTCATGGTACTTTTGGGACGTCGATTTTTGAATTTAGCCCGTTTTTCTTCTTTCAGCGAGAAACAGAATCTTGAACGAGGGAGACGGTGGTCTGATTCCGTGTGGAATTTTGGTGGAATAAAGGCATCGGTTAGGAAAACCTTCTATTTACTATAATGTGGTCTATTTCGTTTTGGCACTCTCTAACCTATTCTTGATGCGCCATTCACACTCAGTTTGAATATCTCCAAAGTCACCGCTATCCGCAACTGTGTCGAGAAATCAACTAACATAGTGAAGAAAAGAATGAAGAATAAGGTAAAGCCTCACGTTTGCTCAACATGAATCTGGAAAATTATTTGATCAATGCCGAATTAAATAGAAAATCGTAGTGGGAATTACTTCCGTAATGCCCGAAACAAGATGCCCTTATCTTACCCTTTAATAGCGATGAAGTAAGTTTAGCTATAAAGAGAAGCCTAAGAAGGGCAGGTCTAGGAGAGTCAGTAGCGATAACTGAAATACCACGTAACAGTTAGTTCGTAACCGCACATATGCCAGTCAGTGTGAGACACGGGACTGCGCAATTTGCCCTTACGGCAGGGACGGTGACTGCATGAGTTCAGGTACGATATACCTGATCTCTTGTAATAATTGCGGAAAAGAATATATTGGCGAAACGAGCAGACCATTATGTATCCGCATAAAAGAACATCTAGATGGCAAACGAAAAGCAAAACAAGGCACGCCACTAGGGGCACATAGGATGCAAAAGCACAGCGGAGACGATTTTGATATTAAAGTCACTATCATCGCACAGGATCTTAAAACACCAACGCGCATACCTCTTGACGGTTTTCGGATAAATGCCAAAATTTCTATAATGATTAACAGGGAGAAATACCCAGAAACCATGATCTCACTCCGTATCTTCGCATCAATTTTTGGTGTGGTGTAGCTCAGTTATCGACCATGTACAGCTATAATCAGCTGTTGTTTCTCAGTGGAAGGCACGTAAAAACGTTGGAGAAGGCGCTGCAAGTGCGTGTATTGTAGGTACAGAACGTCACCATAGTTCTTTGTAATCCAGGCAGCTTCTATTGGCCTTGAGATTTTAGCAGCCTCTCCGTACTCGTCGTACCCAACGTTGCCGAGTTGGGGCTCTTTCGGTGTTAGAGGTATGAGGCCGGTTTCTTTTACTGTGTTTAACATTTTGATACCCACGTATAGCTTGCTGGGCTCTGAAAATTGAGGCTGTGGACACTCACGGGTAGCTCGCAAGGCTCTCCCAGACTGGACATGGAGCTTATTTGTTGGAGGCAACTCCTAACCGCTTCCCATATACTTCTCTGTCACTTGATTCTAGGCTTTTGGCTAAACTGACTTGCAGAACACCATCCGCATAAGCGAGAAAACACCCACACACGTATGCGTGAATACGCCTAGCAAATACGGAAAGTATGTGGCAAATCGGTGCAGCAGAAACAGGGTGCCAATCTCCTGAATTCATCTGCGTCCAAGGAAGACGAAGTCGCATTTAGTCGGTGATTGATCAATAACCTGGGGAGGCTCCACGTAGCCTCTCGACTAAGCGGCTCGAGATCACTCATATGAGGGAGATCCGTGGATCTTCACTATAATATATAATATTATGTTCCCTATTTCGTTAAAGCTGTCGTTTCGGCAGTATCGCCTTCCTCAAGGCCTGGAAGGGTATATTGATAGGCAGTTTGCTACGTCAGAAGCTCCATTAACACATGCAGAAAGATGAAAGCTGAGATGCAACCACACGATCAACAGCTTCTAGAAGAATTCACCGTTTATTAGCTGCCTTCCACTGAAGAACAACAGCTGATCAGAGTCACATATGCTCAATGAATTCACCGCTCTACATCAAAAGTCGATGCGAATGTACGGAGCGAGATCACGCGTGATCTAGGGGCACACCTCTGCCATTCATTGTAGAGTTCCTGGTATTTATCCAAAAAGCCTCTAGAAGTTTACGCGTTGGTGTTTTTGTATCTTGTGCGTGGACAGTTTTCCGCGTTGTACATCAATCGAATATCGAATGACTCCGCAATACAATACAAGTACAAGCCATCTTTGAACTTCTTGTTGAACATGGAGGTGAAATACATACGCATGGCTTGTCTATTCAACAGCTCCTGACTCTCTTAAAAGAGTGCCAGAACTGCTCTATTTTTAGATGGCCTGGAAAACACTACGCAATTGAGAGGGCTGACAATGGGAGAGTGACTGGCACCAAGTCTCGCCAGTGCCTAAAATTGCATTGCATTTATGTCTAAAATAAAAGCCCCCTTATTGATCTGCGGGTGGTGCTCTGCTGCAGATATATAGACGACTGTTTTGACGTCCTCTCTAATCAGGAGGAGACGGAAAAGTGCTTTGAATTATTGAACGAGCAGTCTGAGTACATAAAGTTCACCCGGTAGAAACCGAGGAAAAACTGGCTTCCGTTTTTGAACGTTCAAATAAACCTATGAAGTAGCGGTTACCTGACGAAGTGGTATCGAAAGCCAAGTAACAAGAACATCCTTGTTCATTTCCTTTCTTCCCACCCTTCACATACAAAGAGGGCGCTTGTACGAAACATGTTTCGAACAGCCACCTCTGTGTGCACTACCAGGGAACTGAAGGAAGAATCGCGCGACTTGGCTTAGCAAATAGCCATCTCCAATGGCTATGAAATAGTAAAACTCCACAAGATAAGTTTAGAGGGAGAGCGCCGGCCCAAAACGAAAAACGTGGCCAGAACAAATCGCCGTTTACGTTGCCCTTCATCATCGATGAAGGCGTAGCTATAAAACGATGCTTAAGAAGGGCGGGTCTAGAGGAATTAGTAGCGATAGTTAAAATGCTACCCGATACTTTTCGTAGTCAGTTAGATTGTAACCGCCTTTACGACCGTCTATGCCAGACACAAAGTTGCGCAATTTGTCTTTACGGCAGGGTGGTGACTGCATGAGTTCAGGTAGGACATACTTGATCTCTTGTGGTACTGGCGGAGACGAATATATCGGCGAAGCAGGCAGACCATTATGTATCTGCATAGAAGAACACCTAGATGGCAAACGATGAGCAAAACAAGGCACGCCACAAGGGGCACGTAGGATACAAAAACACAGCGGAGACGATTTTGATATTAAAGTCACTATCCTCGCACAGGATCTTAAAACACCAACGCGTATACCTCTTGACGGTTTTCGGATAAATACCAAAATTCCTATAATGATTAACAAGGTGGTACGATATACCTAACTTCTGGTAATACGATGTTTTTCTTCAATAAGCAGACACGAGGTTGTTATTATAGGATTTATTAGGATACAATAGCTGACGTTTCGGCGGCTTCGCCTTTTTCAGAGCCGTTTATTTGTTGTAAGTATTTAAGTTAGTTGGTGGATAGCACGTATTACGGAGAGTTATCGCCCATGTATTATTCTGTGCGGCTGCTATTGTATCCTAATGAATTCTATAATAACAATCTCGCGTCTGCTTATTGAAGAAAAACATTGAATTATCAATTAATGCCGAGGTTAGAAGAAAGTCCGTCATGTGAATTACTTGTAATACTTGCGTAGATGAGTATATTAGCGAAACGGGCAGACCTTTATGTATCCGCATAAAAAGACACCTAGTTATCAAAAGAAGAGCAAAATTAAGTACCCAACTAGGGACGCATAAGATACAAAAACATAGCGGAGACGATTTTGATGTAAAAGCCATTATCCTCTCACAGGATGCAAAAACACCAACGTGCAAACTTCTCGAGGCCTTTTGGATAAATGCTAAAAACCCCAGAATGAATAGCAGCGAAGAATATCCAGAGATAACACGTGATATCGCCCCGTATCGTGGTGGTGGTGGGGGGGAGTGCAGTTATCAACCATCACCTGTATCACCTGTAGTCCTGCTCGTCGTCGAGTGATTCGAGTGGACGCCAGTAAATCTTCCATTTTTCCTCGTCGCCTGCTCATATCTTTCTTCTAGGCTCTTCGTGAAGAACTCTGACCATCGGGTCACTGGCCTTCCTGCAGTACATTTGACATACCGAGTAATCCAGTCACTAACGGCTCTTGTCCAACGGTTGTCATTTGTACGCATTACGTGGCCGGCCCACCTTATCTTCGACTGTTTGGCATACAGAACGGCATCTTTGATTTTAATCGTTCACGCAGGTCGGAGCTTCGGATCCCTTCCCTTAGTTGCGTGAAACGGGTTACTCCTAGCATCGTCCTTTCGACTGCGCGTTCGATAACGCTGGGTGATCTTTCATCCTGCTTACGCAGCGACCAGGTTTCTGACGCATACGTTAGGGCAGGAAGTACCGTTGAGTCGAAAAGGTGGGAACGGAGTCGGGTGTTCATTTTTCTCTTCACTACATTCTCGATGCTCTTAAAAGCTTCCCAAGTCGCTCGTTTCCTTCTGGTTAGCTCTGGGGCTAAGTCGTTCAACATGTTGATTTCCTGACATAGATAGATGTAACTGAAGCATTCGGAGATATTCGTCCCGTTGGGCGTGAGTGGAGTGTCCAAAACCAATCCGTTCTTTATGAACATCGTTCTTGTGAGATTTAGTCGAAGATCAATCTTTCCGTAAGCTTTATCAAAGTCGGCAAGCATTCGTTCCGCTTGGCTAATGTTTGGTGTTATAAGGACGATGTCATCAACAAAGTGAAGATGGTGTAACTGCCTACCATCGATTTTCACTCCCATATTCCCATTCCAATATTCGCATGACGTTCTGGAGGGTAACGGTAAATAATTTTGGCGATATGGTATCGCCTTGCCTAACCCTTGTTTTGACGTCAATGTTAATATCGTTGTTGAATGGTGATATTTTGGTTGTGAAGTTTTTGTACAAGAATTAAAGGGCATCTGTAAGTAGATGAAAGTGAGACAGAGCGATTTATGTACTCTCGCGATGCTTCAATGGGCCGTGCTACCGTGTGGATGTGGTTCATCATACTAAATCCTTTTCGAAACCCTGCTTGTTCACATGGTTGTCCTCCGTCCAGTGTTCTGCCAATCCTGTTTAGAATGACTCGAGCGCGATAGTTGCCGATGTCGTGTAGGTCACTCTTCTTGAACAATAACATGGCTCTGCTAGTCTTCCATTGAATAGGGACCTCGAATTCAGATAAATGTCTTGTGAAGAGCCGAGCCACTGTGTTTACGAAGACTGACTGAAGGTTTTTTAGGTGTTCTGATCTTATCCTGTTCGAACCTGGTGTTGTTCGTTTTTTCACCGACGAAATGGCACTTCGGATTTCAGAATGGGGAACGGGTAGTACAACATATCCATCCTCCTTTATTTTTATATAACAGAAGGTGGAGGTGGCTGTCGAAGAGATCTGAGTAGTATTCGTGAATGATTTCCACCACTGCCTTTCTGGACGCTGTAACTGTTCCGTATGGGCGTCGGAGTGCAGTCATCCTGGTCTTGTAATTGGCGAAGCTTAGGTGGGCTTTGCGAATGCTCTTCCCAACCTCTTCAGCTTTGACCATTACTTCTGCTCCTCTGTCTTTAAAACCTTTTCTTTTATCACCTGTCTTCACATTGTTTTGCAAGTTCGGGCGTTAGTTCACGGTTGCCTGCAGCTCGTACGATCCCACGCTGGCGTATCAGCTCGAGTGTGAAACAAACGTCTCTTGATGACTTTCGAACTCTCAGCTTTCATAGCGCTAACGTGATAGTATTGAATGAGCCATTCGTATTCTTTGTCGATGTTATCAACAACGGCATCCTCCCAGCAGCCGACTAATGAATTGAATAAGTTCCAATTTACGGTGGTTGTGGGACTTCCGTTTTTGAATTTAGCGGTTTCTTCTCCTTTCCTCGAAGAATAGAATCTTGTACGAAGGAGACGGTGGTCTGGTCCCGTGTAGAATTTTGGGACAACAGCGACATCAGTTAGGCAAAACCTTCTATTTGCTATGATGTGGTCTATTTCGTTATGGTACTCTCCATTGGGAGGCTGCCACGTCCAGCGTTAAGGGTGGGGCTTCTAGAATTGCGAATTGCCATGAGTGCTTTTGCTCGTCGAGATAGAACCAGAGGACTGTTCGCTGTTCTTATTCTATTCTAGTCCGTGAGTTCCAATGTGACGTCCTTCAGACGTTTTGCTGAGTCCAATATTAACGTTAAAACTTCCAGTATTAGCCCTTCAGATGATATCTTCGTACAAGCAGCTGCACGCTTCCACGTATATTTTTTGTATAAGCTATTCTCCTCCCCAGCGGTTTACCGCGTCAACGTGGCTAGAGGTGTTTCTGGGTGTCGGACTGTGATGTACAGGAGAGGGATTCGTCCCTCCGGCACAGTCACCCAAGCTGAGAAGGAGTCTGGCTTTTCCATCAGGAAGCCTAGTTAAGAGTAAACCAGCACCAGGATCCACCACCATGTTGGTATAAAAGTTGCATGGTGGCAAATCCCCCTCTAATCCACAGGAGCTGCGACTGCCCACGGTGGTGAAGACCTGGGGCAGACTTTGGCCAGGCTACCTCGAGATTCCAGGGAACGGCAATGGCTTAACCTGCAAATCTCTGAGGAATGATGATTATACTGAGGCCTGCACAACCAGTGAGGACGGGCCGTTCAAGTATCAAGGATCAAGTATTTGTATCTTTCTGTTTGTGTTACTGAAGCGTTGGCATAAAATACCCTTCCAGACTCTGAAGAAGGGGATACTGCCGAAACATCAACATTACCGGAATAAAGAATAAGGTAAAACCTCGTGTTTGCTCAACAAGAATATCGAGGATAATAAACTACTTTGCTGCAGAGGTAAACAAGGCTTAGTACACTTCCAGGAGCATCGACGATGTAGTGAAGATGGCAGAAATCTTTCGATTTCGTGCGCACCATTATGTCTCCATGATTCTTCATGCAGTAACATACGCGTCGAGAACATGGATGCTGTGATAATAGGATGAAATGCCACTTAACTACTACGAATCGAATCTTAATTACTGCATCCAACATTTTTTTTGTGACTGCGCATTCAATAACGCTGGGTCATCTTTCATCCTGCTTACGTAGCGACCAGGTTTCTGACGCACAACTTAAGCCAAGGAAAATCGTGAAGTCGAAATAGTAGACAGATAACAGCGCTATCGGTTAGGCGAGACCTTTGATTTGCTATTGTCTATTTCATAATGGTTTTCTCCAGTAGGAGACTCCCACATCCAGCGTTGAGGGTGGGGCTTCTGGAATTGCGAATAACCATGAATGATCTTGTTCGTCATGTTAAACTGAAACAGCCGCTTTGTCAGGGTTGGTGTTAGTCCACATCTCTTCAATCATAAACGCGCTATCTGGGTTGTTACTTTTTGGAATGAATCGATGTTCATGGCCAAACTGGTGTTGACGATAACGTCGGCGCAGTCCACTCTCTATTCTCTCATGTTCCGAGGAACAGTTTTTCTTCAGTGTCATAGATGGTACTGAATGAGTGGCGTCTTTTCTCTTCGGCCAGTCCCATGACGCCGCACATTATCGTTCTTGCCTGCCAGATCAAGTTCTCTGTTGTGGACTATGATTCAAATGAGTGTGCACTGAAGGTACAAATCGCCTTTTACCCTGGCCCTTCTAAGTTTAGGCAGCCCTGAATGGCTCTGAAGTTTTAGCCCTCTCTCCGTACTTGGCCTACGCAAGGCGGCCACATCGGGGCTTATTCAGGATCATGGAAATAAGGCCCTCCTATTTCACTGTGCTCAGCATTTGATGGCCATGCATAGTTTGCCCAACGTGGACGCTGAATATTCCCACTGGTAGCATGACAGTCTCTACTAGAGTAGACGTGGAGCCTATTTGTCGGAGGCGACTCCTAACCGCTTCCCACACATTTCCTTGCTGCTTGATTGCAGGATTTTAGCCGAATTCACTCGTGGAATACAATCTGCATAGACGAGAACACCCCCACGCAAGCATGCATGAATACGTCTTTGAAGACATAGAAAGTATATGTCGAATAGGCACAGCAAAAACTGGGACTTTATTCTCTGGATCTAATTACGTCTCAAAAAAGCTTAAGGTCACTTTTGGTCTGCAATTAGCCCCATGTACACCACCTGGGAATGCTCCACGTTACCTTGCGACAAAGTGTCATGGCTCCCCTCTATGAAGGAGATCTCTGGATATTCAATACGTATATATATGCATATACAACACGTTCCAATAGTAGTAGAATCTTATGGTGGATCTACCTAAAAACCTGACAAGTCATATCCGAGGATAAGAGAGCTTGTAATTATCGACAGTCTTCATTGAGTTAAATGCAGAGAAGTGAACGGACACCGGAGGCTACGTGACTATTAGTGTGTTCAGAAGTTAATTGCATGTTTGTCTTTGTGTTTCCAACGTGGCATTTTTCTGCGAAGAATGGACCTAACTAATCGAAGCGAAAACCTTCAAAAGCTGTGCTATTTTGCCAGCGAGAAATAAATTTACCTTTAAGGGTTGCATGAAATTGAAAATGAAATGGACCTCTAGGGGCGATAAAGTCACTGAAGGAAGTTTCCAGTTTGGCTTAGTTTCTAAAGCGTCTACCGCTCAAGAAGTTATCGAGGATAATGAAGAAGTGGTAGTACGGTAGGCGAGAGGTCTGGCGAGTGTGGTTGATGAGGTAGAGCTTCGTAGCCTTGCACATTCAATTTTTGCAGCGTCAGTAGTGCGACGTGCGGCGGCGCGTTCTTTTGGACAAGGATTGTTCTCTTTCTGTCAACCAGTGTGAGGCGCAGTCGTTGAGGTTTCTGGAGCATTTCGCCTGGCTGGTGGATGCACTTCTCGGCAGCAATTGTCTCCCTCGGAGTTGGTATGCTGTGATGGACAAAACCAGGTATACACCACCAAACAGTTAGCATGACCTTCCGATGCAATTTTCGCTTTGGAGAGCGCTGCGAGCTTCATCATGGCCTAACCACTAAATCGATCATCGCCCGTTGTTGTATTGAATCGATTTGTCTTCACATTTCATAGTGTGATCCAGAAACGCGTCGTTCTGGTGGCGCAGAAGAAGTGCCGCTGATTTCGTTGATTGCCATCAATTCGCGCATGAACCATTTGTTAATCCTCTTCAATACTGAGCAAATATGAAGAAAATCTAACTTTGCATACATATTTAACACACAATATTAGGAAAAAGACCACTGCTAGGACATATGAAGTATAAAAGGAAACGAAAGTGCAAATCGGGCATTGATTTCACAAGAATCTAATACGTGAGCCACTAATTGGCAACAACAGGATGAGCGCTGAACAACGTATTTGAGAAGGACTTGCAGACAAGCGCGTAAGACGAAGTGTTGCAGTGTCGTTTTCGCTACGCTTCTTTGTGCACTGTTATGAATTCCAGAAGCACTTATTCATCTTCTGCCTCTCAAAACCTTAGAAATGAACGAGACACTCGTCCTTCTCGGTATAATCACCTAGGTCCATAACACATAACGCCTGAGATTCCTTATGTGCAATGCATACGCAGTGGTGAAAAGTTGACGAAAGATCCAGCGCATTTCCTTTTTATTGGTTCACTTTGCCACTCATACGGTTCTAAGTATTTTTTCTATCCAATCGATGGCATGTTTAATACAGATGTTACAGGTATACCACCTTAAAAGCCTTTTTAACACTTAATAATTCAAAAACCGTTCTTGGATGAGTTCATTTCCCGGCATGAGACTACACTTGTTGATACCACACCACAGCAACTGCTTTCAGTGAGAAAAGTGCCGAAATATTTCTTCTGCTGCACTTGAACACTACTGTTCAACATGACATTTAAGGAAGCGTTCTCTTTATCATAAAATAACAGACCTTTGAAAGGTGGCCACCAATAGGTGGTGATCAAATGCGTATTCACCAATATGTTTCAAAGCAG